CATGAATGAAAAACAGTGGATTAAAACTACACGTGGCCACCCATGGGATGCCCGACAAAATCACCGACGGTAGGCAATGAAACTGATCCAATACAACCACATCTGGCTGTTCAGTGGCCAACAGTGTCTCCACAATGGGGTCCAGTCTAATAGCTTGGGCGCCTAAATCAGCCATTACTGTCCGGATGTTAATGGCTTTCTGTAAGGCCGTGGCGTCCCTAATGCCGCCCCCATTGACAAACATGTCAGCCCACTGTATTGAAAATTAAAAGTGAAACATCCAATGTTAAAGTGTAGCCATAGACTTAAGCTCAAATGCTATGGTGAGCCACATAGAGTAGGGGGCAAACGGGAGGCGCCTCATCGTGACCTTATAAACCATATTATTAATAATTGCATTATGGTTAAAAGTGATATACAATATTTTGCAATATAAGTAAAATATAACCAATAAATAGTTAATTACAACTCACGTGTTCTATAAGAGCAAGAGCAAGAGAGGGTACAAAGCACTGTAAGCTGCGGGAATGGCAAATCCTAGCGAAATGGTGGTAACTGTAATGATCGGTACAATTACAAGTACCTTGGCATATCTGGTCATAAACAAAACCCATTAATATAATTAAACATTAACATGACAAAATAATGTAAATTGTTTTTGTTAGGTTTACCTTTTTGAAAATATCCCGAAAAACGGCTCATTAGCCTTGTTCTTAGTAGTGTAGTGGTCGTACAATTCGTCCAAATCACTGGTCAAATCTTTCCTATAGCGGGCGGCCAACTCGGGGCCGCCCATCTTCAATGTATTATCAAAGCAATCCAATGATTGCTGGCGAAGTATCTTATGTTGTTCCTCAAATTTACCATGGGCAATGAACTGTTGTTTGGCGCCGCAAAACGCGTCCATTCCGGCCTTGTATTTGTCTCGGGCTGTGGTCACGGCGTTTAGATTGTTAGCCTCAGCCGTGGCCGCAAACAATGTGCCTATTTTTGGCATTTTCTCGGCTGTTGTGGTGTAAGTGATCACAATTAGACAACAAATGAATTAATAAAGTATTGGGTCAAATAATAAATAGGTTTAATCACTGAAAAAGCGTTAACAAAATTATTTGTAAGCTCCATAACTAATCAAGATAATTTGATTCTATTTTCACATTAACTAGATCACTAGGCCGTGTCTATATATTCTATAAAAAGTTATAATGATAAAAATTTACAATCTATATATCAAAGTATACATAATAAAATTTAACTTTATACATGTTTCAGAACTTTTAAACAAATGAGAAGAATTAGAATAGACTCAATTTTAATAAATATAAATATGTGAATTTAAAACATTATTATTAAAAATCTACATGTTTAATTTTAATTATAAATATATTGAATTATTTCAAATTGAGAATAGGATAATATAAATTTTAAATTTTTAAAATTTTAATCATAAACCATAAATTCTTATTTAGTGCAACAATAATGTTTAAAGTTAAAATATAATGTATAAATATTTATTGCCCATAGAAAATACATTAACACTTAATGTCATTTAGTTTGTTTTATTTCATATGATACCTTTTAAATTATTGAAGTACATTTCAAAGTACGTCATCATCTCTTTGCCGGTGACCCGACGGCCGCCGATCTCCTTCACGACCACATTCTCCGGGTCTAACATCAGCGGCACAAACGTCTTCAGAGAGTCGACAAACTTCGAGTCAATATCGGCCACTCGGCCGTCAAAATGTTGAGTAGTGGCCACTGTATCGCCCGGATATGGCATCAAATAGCAGCCAATATCGCCAAAACACGACCGGATGTGGCGCCGGACCCCTTGTATCTCCTGATCCTCGCTGGTCGCCAAACAATTGTCCAAATACTGCTGACCGCCGTCCAGACCGTACCCGTACTCGTATGGACAGCGCCAGTCCCGTATGAGAAACAGTAGCTTTTGGAACGGCTTTCCAGTGGTGTGTTTGAGGGCCAGTTGGCCGTACTCCGCGAAATACTGGAGCACATGAAGGTCGTCTTCCTGGAGCTGGTGCATCAGATTGAACACTGCGAATAATACGCGAGTAAAAACATACAGGTGTGAAAATCACAAAATTCACCATTGTTATATTGTATAATCGCCACACATGAAAATACCACAATTAACAAAAATAACTACGGTTATAGAGTGACCAAAAATAGGTTTAACAGTTTCGTTTACACATCCATACATACCCTGTATGGACGATATCATAGTGGACAGCGCGAACACAGTGGTCAACTGCTTGACCGTTTGCTTCAAGTCGAACGCCCCCTGAGTGTCCATCAATAGGATGGCCACCTCCTGGCCCTCATCCAGTTTGATGACAAATGGCTCCGACCACATCAGTATACCAGTGGTGTCCCTCACACTGCCGTTCCTCCACGAGAACCCCTTGAGTTCGTCTGTCGAGCCAATCCAGTCGTCGGTTGTGCCGCAACCGGACTGCAGGTATCGCAGAAAAAAGTTCAGCATAAAGGACTTGCCTACCGGTGCCGGTGTAGAGGGGGTGGGGGTTAGGGTGGGAGAGACATAATAGCCTTAAAAGTTTTTTGTTTTGAGTTATTTATGATTAATTATTAATTACATAATTAGTTTTGTGTATATTATAGCGACAGATGTTTGTATGTAGTGATTATAATTATCTTGTGTATAATTGTATTGTATTTTATTAAATTCACACATATATTTATTATTTATTTACTGTAGTTTCATTCATTATATAGAGGTTTTACTATTGCAACAACAAAAATGTCATAATTTATTAATTTACTATTAATTATTTGTAATTATATTTATTTAATTACTTTTATTTCAATAAGTTATATTGCTTTAGCGATAAGTAAATAACCGTTACATTATATCTGTTATTGTTATCAACAGGAAAACGCAAGGCCGGTAAAACTGGGTAAACGCGGGCATTGGAGGGTAACATACTTTGTGCACCATTTTTAATCATCTTTATGCATTCAGATATATTGTAAGCATATAATGAGAAAAGTATATTGTTTATATTTAATATATTTAGTTATTTTAATTAAAATATTGTGTAAAAATGTTGTTTAAAATTAGTTTTAATATTCTCAATAGCTCTCTCAATTATTATTTCAATAACTCACTCATTGTGTCACTCATTTGTTAACAATATTAATAAATAAATGTAATGGCATTTGTAATTAATGTTTGGAAAGTTATTCGATTGCACCAAAAATAATGTCTAGTTAAAAATATTTTGGAAGCTGCGTTCTCCTGGTTATCAGCATAAAAAAACTTGCTTAACAAAAAGTTATATGATCATGTTTAATAGTAAATTGTCATTTTTTTATAGGCCAAAATATTTAAATGTCTTCATAATATGACCTAATCTAACAGAATTTAGACATTAGAGTTATTGAAAGTTATAGAATTATGAGCTTGCAACTTATAAGCAATCTTAATTTAATAACATTAATTATGTTCTTACAGTATTAATAAAATATTATTTTACTATCAACGTGAGTAGTGTTTTGTGTTACCACTCTACATGTGTATATCATAACCTATCCAAGTTATTAATTATCCGCACCGCCCATACAGTACAATACAATAACAATATGTAAACTGACCTTTACGAAAATCACCGGCAATACTGACCACCACAACGGGTTTGTCACGGATCGAGTCGCGCAACAGAATAGACGACAGGGCCTCCAAATCCAGCTCAAACTCGCTATCACCTTTCACTTTGACCCCTTTGAGCACTTGAAGGGCTCCCTCGGGGTATATCTTGGGTATATCGGGCGCACCGTTGGCTTTGGTGTCATTGTCTGGACGTTTTTCCAAAGCAAACCAATTGGGAAGTTTCATGATAACCGTTGTTGTTGTTATTAGTACGGGGTAAAGTCTGGTATACGTGATATTGCTATTTAGTTTGCTGGACACAACTGGTTACTACTGATCCACACTACCGCACGTATGTGTGTATTATTAATATTTATGGAAGCCTGCGATTTGAACACTAGTTTATTATATATTTTTGCTTTTTTGGTTATCACTATTATTTAACATAACATTAAAGGTTTCATATTTAGTCTAGCACAAATATTTTAATTGTTTTTTCTCACATTTGAATATGAATGTTAATTCAATTACACTAACATCCGGCCTTTAAAACAACAAGCTAACTTTTAAACACACAATACAACCATTTTATAGTTTGCTTATATTTAATACATGTATTAACGTTATGTCAAACTGAAATATTATATTATATGTATTACAATAAAGTTCAATTGTGTAAAAGAATCAAGTGATATTTGTTATTTATTTTGAGTCTACATTAACACTAATTAACTCTATACTAGTTTGCATATATATCCGATATAATAAATGGCTCTTTTATCTAAACTTTTATCTGAATATTAATAATATAATAATTAGTTAAAGCCTAAGGAAACTGTTGACGGATAGCATCTATAGTTTTAATGTTCAATATTGTTAACTTGGAACTACTGTATGTAAACAACATATAAATAAAGGCTATGCCTTACCAAGTTTACATACTTTTAGAGGGCATATGTTGCAGTTTACCTCACAGATAGTCACTGCTTTACCAAAGCTTACCTTACCAATGCTTACTGTATGGTGCCATATGGTATACAACATTAACATATAGTTGCAGTACGGTATACAATTGTGCTAATGTTTGGCAAATAAATCTTACCAAGATAACACAAATTATGAGTCGTTCACACATTAAATAATAACAAGTATTACCAAATATGCCTTATGTTATGAGGGCATTCGCATAATATGTAATAAGTCTTACCAATATATATATATATATATATATATATACACGTTTTAGAAGGCATTCAAATATTGCGTTATAAAAAATCTTACCAAGATAATGCGGTAAGACTTTTTATGGGGTATAAATAAAGTAACAGTAGTATTTAAATGACAATTTTTATTTATTTTATATTTAATGAAAATTATACATGTAATTACTATTGAAAACAATGCAATTGAATTTAATCAAAAGTGATAATCTCCAGCGATAAACAAATTTACATCCTCTCCCCGGAAACACTTTTACTATCGGAGTTGTCTATCTTTGTATAAGTTTGAATGCTAAACTATACACACACCATAGCATTAACACTGTTATAAATTTCCCAGGGAATGGGCGTTCGACAGGGTGCACGTTACACTTAATACAACAATAGCATATAGATCTCAGTCTCACGGAGCAGTTGATGCAGAGCCGGTTATGAGTACAAGTGTCGGTGAGCCTTAATGGATCTTGACCAACTAACTCTTTCCAAAAGCCACACAACTGACAGATGCCAAAAGCCATTGCGAAACAATTCAAGTACACTGATGTGTGGATTTGCAGATCAAAAGCTGAATAGAGTCTCGTAAACTAATTCCTTTTAATGCCTTTTGCAAAAAAAATCGCATATTGTAAATAATAGTTTAAATAAATGAGTCATTCATAAAATTATCCAAAGCTTATTTTCATAGTATAATATGAAGAAAACTTTTATTTATAAGAAAATTTCCAACATTTGTAATGTTAAGTATATGGGTTAAATCTAATCCTAAGAACATTACCTACTTTATGTACGATATTATCTCTATAGGCAATCATAAGTCTATGGGGGCAATTGAATGTATAAAATTTATACAGAGGCCAGAAGCTACTCAATTTATATGTTAAATCTATATTAATTTTAAAATATTAAGTATTATTATTATTTAGAAATATAAGATTATATATTGGGTACAGATTGCTAGGAGTTTAACAATTATTTTATATGTTATTTGTGAACAGTGGATAGATATTGTACTACAGCATAGCTCTCAAATATCTCTAATTTGTAAAATATAAAACTTGATTCTTATAAAATATTGATAATTTATCAACTTTATTCCAAATTAGTGATAAATTTCAAAACCATTTCGACTAAGTATTACAAAAATTGCTTTTTAAGTATTACAATTTTATATAAGGCAAAAAATGACTAATAAATAAGCTTAAAGTATAAAATTTGATCGCAGTTAATAACAAAACTTGCTTTTAATTTTTACAATTTTATCCTCAAAAACACATTATATTTCAATGGGACCCCTTACAAAACTTGATCCTATGTATTACAAAATTTGACTGTTAAGTATTGCAATTTTTGCCAGGGCAAAAAACGTTAAAATTTAAAAGCAAAAAACGTACATTAATTATGTATAAAGTACAAAATTGACCGTTTTTATAAATAAATGAATATTTTTCCATATTTGTGTGTATTTTGCGATATGCTATAAACAACAAAAGTATTTAGGTATAGTACTAATTGTATGGATAATGTCTGTATAGTAGACAAAAATGATAATTTATCAACTTTAATCCAAATTAGTGATAAATTTCAAAACCATTTCGACTAAGTATTACAAAAATTGCTTTTTATGTATTACAATTTTAAACAAGGCAAAAAACGTCTAAATTTAACGACAAAAAATGTCTAATAAATAAGCTTAAAGTATAAAATTTGATCGCAGTTAATAACAAAACTTGCTTTAAATTTTTACAATTTTATCCTCAAAAACACATTATATTTCAATGGGACCCCTTACAAAACTTGATCCTAT